AAAACCACCACCAAAAAATAATAATAATAATAAAATAAAATAAATAAAAAAATTCATTAGTATGCACAAAGAACAAATAATTAAACTTACTGAAATTATTTCATATTCTCCTTGGAAACATAACTAACTTGATTGTAAGAGTGAAATCCGCCACCCCTATCTCAGTTGTCCGAGCTCAACACGGACTGTTGGTTGCAGATTTTTCGCATTTTCAGGTCAAGAATGTGACATGAATTAGAATATTTAGAAAAAACACACTTAAATTTGGTAAAATTGACTGATATTTGTGATGGTAGCTGGCCCTAAATTAGTGGTCTTCAAATAATTAATGCCAAATACTATCACCATATAGGAATAGCCAAATTCACACACATATATATATATAAACACAGAGATCTAGACACGCACACACCCGTAAGAGGGGACTGCGGGACTGACTTTTCGCGTACATACGCAGCAGGAGCGAGAATCGAGAGCGCAAGGAGGTCGCGGAAGACACAGAAAACAAGCTGATTCACGCCCACATTAAGTGCAACTTTGGTGATAACATGGTAACCTCCATTGAACACCTGCACCATGGCCATCGCCATATGTGCTCTCCACACGTTCCCTCCATTTGAACTCGCTGTAGATGCTGCTGCCATCGTCTTCATAACAGTAATCTCATCCCACTGTTACCCTCAATAGGTATAATTTTTGTATGTAAACTAAAGGCTGGGATGGAATGATGGTTGGTGTGAAGTGGGGCTGTGCGATTCGTGTCGTTTAAGGAAGAAAAATTAGGGAAAATAGAGGATTTTCACGTGCTTTTCACGTTTTAATGATGAAAGGGGAGAAGAGACGATACACTTCACCAGTGTAATGAAATGTTAATGGAATTCTATATTTTAAATTTTAATGAATTTCATAAGATTTTAATAGAATTTTGTAAAATAACTAATTTTATGAATCTAAAAAATCGAAGAAATAAATATCAAGTAAAAATGAAAATTTGAAAAAAAAAAAATTACAATTTACAAAGTCAAATAAATGAATATCAAGAAAATAAAAATTGAGTTAATTTGAAAATAAAATCATTTTCACTATAATATTAAGTATTATATACATATACACTTAAGATTTTATGATTAAAAATATATTTAATTGGCGAAGAGAGTTTTAAAAGTAAAATGGACTAACTTCTTATTCTTAGTGTTTGTAAATTCTAAATAAAAACGAGAAGTCAATTCTACCTTTTTTTTTTCCCCACAAGAATGAGAATTGAAAATAAAATATATATTATTACATCTTGTTACCTCGTTCTTATTAACGATATTTATTCAAATTTAGGGACGACAAAATTCTTCCATCCAACCCACCGTGCACTGTCCCACTCCAAATGAGGTCCGAATAGCGACAGAAAACATGGTACCCATCTCAAATTAGCCCGGATTCTTTTTTATTTTATTTTATTCTTATGTTTTAATAAAAAAATAAGATCAATTAATTAACTAAACAGGACAATAAATGGAATATTTAATCCCTTGCCCTCCTCCTTAAAATCCTCGACGGGGAGAGGACGGGATGGTTGCCTCAAACCCATTTTGCACCAACCTTGTTATATTCTGTTTTAGGACTGTCAATTGGACTCGTCAGCTCGGACCGCTCGTGGCTCGGTTCGGAAAAAGCCCTAGCCCGCTTGGTGGAATCGAGCCAAGGCTCTGGTTGAGCCCTATTTTGAGGTTCTGGACTTTGTTCGAACCAGCCCATGTGACTCGTCGTCTCGGGCTCGAGTCTTATTAAAAAAAAAATGAAACGAAAAAAAAAAAGAGAGAAAGGCAGCAAGTGCTGCTGCTATAATAAGCTAGCTGCTGCCTTTCAGTGCCAATGCCAATATTTAAAAAAATAATAATAAATAAATAAAAAAAACGGGAGAGAGAGAAAATCGAGCCGGTTCGGGCTCGGCTCACTAAGGCTTCAGCCAAAAAGCTCGGGTCAAACCTTGTTTTTTTTGGCCGAACTTTTGCTCATCCCTACCCTGTTTCAATTTTGATTTTCAAATAAAAAGGCATTTATATGACATGAACTAGCATAATTTTTAATTATATTTATATAACTTTAGGAAGTATGACAGTGAGCATGGTCTAGTAGAATACTTATATCGGAGGAATAGGAAAAATATTTCTCAAGAATTATTTTAAAAAAATACATTTATAGATAAATTCTCAACTTCCTGAAGATGTTAATATTATTTACTTTTTTTGTAAATGAAAAATAACAAGTGAATTTTAGCGATTGAACAACTAAATTCTACAACTACCATGACTCTCTCAGCACATACTAAAGTAATTAGATTTGTTTGTTATATGTGAATAATACAATAATGTATGAAACTTGGTCTATGCGTACGAAGATTTTGTAGACCAAAAAAAAAATAATAATAATAAAAACAAACGAAGATCAAAAGTATATAATTAAAATATAATCTTAAGCACAAGTAAAATGAATATGTTGGAAAGTTTTAATAAACGATTTAAATTATAAATAAATAGAAATAAATAATGGATAAGTGTGTAATACTCACATGTCATTTAAAATGTGTTGAAAGTAGTTTTACTGTTTATGAACTTAACTTCTTGACTCATAATATCTACTTTTGCACGACATCGAGTACAAAAAAGATTTCTATTCCCCTCTCGTTTTCTCTCTATCGTTGAAAGAATAATTTTTTAAATTGACTAGCATAAAGTCTTCATATTGTAACACTACTCAATTAGAGTTGAATGAGTGCAAATTAATTAAAAAGATAGGTGTATGTATACATCAAATTCAATAACATTCCAATGGAGTTAAATCCACCAATGAACACCCATTTTATTAATGTCACCATGAATATCCAATTTGATTTTGTTTTACCACAGTCACTCAATTTTATGTTTAGTGTCATCATAACCACCCAATTTTATGTAACGTTTCACCATGATCACCTAACTTCTTTTCACCATTTTTACTAATTTTAGAAGATGTAAAACTGTAACTTAACATTACATAAATAAAATAAATTTTAAAAATAAAAATAAAAACTTATTTTGGAAAATAAAATAAAAATTTTATTTAAAAAAACATTACTTAAAAAGATAAAATAATTTTTTTTCTCAGAAAAACGTTTTTAAAATAAAATAAAATCTTATTTTTAAAAAACGTTACTTAGGAAAATAAAAACTTATTTTAAAGAAACATTTTCAAAATAAAAAAAAAATCTATTACTTTTTATTTTAAAATTATTTTTTATATATAATGCAATGTTACCATTTTATCTATTTTAAAATTAGTCAAAATGGTGAAAAGTAGTTGGGTGATCATGGTGAAACATGATATGAAATTGGAAGGTTTTGGTGAAATAAAACCAACTTGGACATAAAATATAAAGTTGGATCGACATTGATGAATTTAACCCTATTCCAATATCTTTCAGTCGTAATGTTGTAAAAAAAAAAAAAACACATACACACACACATTTTCAATTTTTTACTTTTTAAAAGAAATCCGAACATAAATTCAAAGAGTTTGCTTTGCTCAAAGACTGTAACCAAACGCCTCCAAATCTACTCGCACGCCGCGGCGGACCCACAAGCTTAGAAGAAATTAGGAATTTGGGACACAAGCAAACAGTTCAATAGCATTCACAGTTCGATAATGGAAGACGAAGAAGGGGGAAGGTTCAAATTGAGCAAGAGATTTTCAGACAAAGAAGGAGAGGTTGATTACAGGACCAAGGCCGGTACCGCATGGTCACACTCGTTCCTCAACCAGAAACCATGGCACCCTCTTTCATATCCCAATCAGCGTCGCAAGTGGATCGCCGAGCAAACCCACGCCCAGAAACAGCGCCGCACGGAGGAGGTCTCCCGCGAGGTACAACCCCTTTAGCGATTATCATATGTATAGTGTCCCCCCCCCCCCCCGGGGG